TTCTGGTCTCCGTCGTGCTCTAGACCGTCTTATGCGCGACCGCCTCATCTCCTTCCCATCTTCAGATTAGTCTCCTTCGTCACTGCAGTTCTATTTCTCGTGTACTCAACCTCCTTGAGGTTTGTCCGCGCTTGAGTTTGGTTGTATTTGTTTCTTTTTCGTTTTGTTTCTTTCAGCATGAATAAGTTGTACGCAACATTTAAATCTCGAAAATGGTATAAATTTAACATTTTACCAAAAAAAGAAAGAAAGAAGTAAGCATGTCATGTTGCTGATATTAAGGTAAAAATCAGTTTGCAATTGGTTGAAAAAAAAATATACCTTTTTCATCAAATCTATTTTTTATAAAATGAAAAATATGGCTTTGATCCCATGAAAAGCCTCATGTGAAATCAGCACAGTATTAATATATCTCTAAATATAAACTCATGTTCCGTTACATTTATAAAGGATATATAAGTGTATAAGACAATCTCTATAATATTATTTGAGAATTCAGTTTCCTACGTGTCGCGCTCACGTTAACTTTCGCGATGGTTGATTACATAGATACCTTTAATGAATTGTTATATTTTAAGATTTTTTTTTAATTTAGTCTCTTTTTTTACGTTTTTGCAGATAACATATATAATAAAAAGGAAATATTTCAAAAAATATTAAAACAATTTTAAAACGAAAATATATGTATATAATATGACTTTATTAATAAGAAAAGTTCACAAAAGAGTAATACCCCCATTAATATATATTTTTAAATAACATAAAATATATTTTCCAAATAATAAAAATATATATGTTCATAAACATTCAAAACTTTATCAGTTACACTTTATTTTGTAATATGTTTTAAAAATCAACATATAATTTGATAAGTATTATGAAAATACATGTATATTTAAGCGATAAATAAAACTAATTTGATTTGACTTAACTAAAATAAAGAGTAAATAAATATTATGAAAATATATGTATATTTAAGCGATAAATAAAACTAATAAGATTTGACTTAATAAAACTAATAAGATTATACTTCAATTTTAATTTAAAAATATATTTAACTCAATATACTCACAAAATGAATGACTCGACTAATCTAATTTATATCAAAAATTTAACATCTAGCTACAATAAGAACATATAATTTTATAATAATAAAATAATAATAATAAAAATCTATTTAATTTTATACATATAAATTAAAAGTTGTCTCAAAGCATATTAAAAAGAAAAAGAAAATATTAATCAATTACAATTTAATTCTTTTTGTAGAATTTGTATATATATATATATATATATATATATATATATATATATATATATATATATGCATGAGACTTCAAAATATTATCATTGTATTCATTTATGTAATTTTGAATCAAACACTTCAGCTTATTATTTATTTTATTCTAAGCACAATATATATTAATTTATACATAATTTAACTATAATATATTTACATATCTAAGAATATATTTACATATCAAAGACAATAAACAACCAAATGAAAATAAGAAAATCAATCAAAGTTTTATTATATTTAGAATAAAAAAATATTATAGCTCAATTCGAAAATAGATATTATCCAATGTACCAAATTGATAATCAAACCGACTATTGATCCAAAAAATAATTAAACCGATAATAATAATATATCCAAAGTCATATGTATAATTAGAATAATATAATATTTATTAATATAAATTCTACATATAAATTTATTCAAAACTAAAACTAAATATCAATAATTTATTATAAATTTTTACTTTTATAAATATTTATATCCGTGCATGAGCACGGGAAAATCACCTAGTGAACAAAGTAACAAGTAAGCGTTTGATTGTGTTTTGTTTTATTATCTACAGGTTCTGGGAACAAGGTCTATAATCTTCCAAATCCGGGATTTGGCAAGCACTGATACCATGGGGACAAGGTCTATAGTGTAAAGTATCTCTCTCATGGTAGATCGAATCCACGAACGCAGCAGCACGAATGACTGCGATTAAATTAACTGGACTGTCACATTTATGATAGCAAGCGTTTGATTGTTAATATATATCTTTCTTTATATTCTCTTTTTGTTTGGATCATCATTGTGTAGAACTTTAAGAAAAATGCTCATAGATCATTAGTTGTTTGGTAAACTGTAACGAAGCAAACTAACTGATGGGGGGACATAGAGATTGCAAGTTGTTATGGGCCGTCTCACTCATTAAAGTTATTAAATGCGATTAACTCTAATTTAGTTGTGATGTTATTTTTTCTTTTCCTATCCCGGTGGCCGGTATGAGTTACAGTTTACAAGGGTACTATGTTAAAGAGGGAAAAATTATGTAAAAAGACCTTTCTCATTTGATAAAATAGTTTTTGAGTTGCTACTATCTATGAATCGAGAACATTTTTCGATTTTGTTATTTATCAAAAATCGAAAATATTGCCACATCTCATAATCCAGTATAGTGAAATGTGACATAATCATAGAATTATAATAATACGCCTTTATTCACTTGTCTACTGTATGATACTTTTTTTAGAAATGGTCCAATGATTTACAATCAAGGCATAAAGCAAAGTCCAGAGCATTGGTCGGTCGAATAACACTCTTACCAAGAAACACAACACACTGTTCATATCATTTTGAGATGAAGCTGAAGCTGTGCTCTGTCTCCAAGATCCATAAGAATGTGTTTCTCATCAAGCTCTTCTCTGCTATTCTCATAACAGGTTTCGCTTTCAGTCTCTTCAACTTTCACTCCATCGACTTTTCACCAGTCTTTGCGTCGGTCACCGGAAAATTCGAAGCACGCTTTACGCCGCCCAAGGTTCTCGTCCCGGAGAACGAAGATCTCATTCCTCAGGGTAAGATCACTTCTATGTGGAGTCAGCCATTGTGATCTTTGTCTAATTCTTGTTTTATGAGATCTATTGTGGTCTTGGAACTCTGTTTCTTGATCTTCAAGATCTAAAGAACTGCTTAATAGTTCTTTTTGGATTATACTTTATGAGAATCTAGTAAATGAAGTGATGATTAATGGATCTCTTTTGTTTTGGTTTCTTGAATCAGATATTGAAGTAGAGAAGTGCAATCTCTTTGCCGGTAAATGGATCCCAGATTCATCAGGACCAATCTACACAAACAACTCATGCGGTAATCTCATCGACGGTCACCAAAACTGCATAACCAATGGCAGACCTGACCTAGACTTCCTCTACTGGAAATGGAAGCCTCATGACTGTTTGTTACCACGTTTTGATCCTCGAAAGTTTCTTCAACTTATGAGAAACAAATCTTGGGCATTCATTGGTGACTCCATCGTGCGTAACCACGTCGAATCTCTGCTTTGTATGCTCTATATGGTAATAATGTTTGTTTAAATACTCTTTGTTTCGCTTTTTTTTAAAAAAATTGACTGTACATCTCCTTAGGGATATGTCCAAATCAGATTAATTTAATTCTCAGCAGAGAAGACTCTTTCTAACGAGGATTCGAACCTATAAGATAACCACCTAGTAGATAATCTAAGAGTTTAAACAATATATTTTGCTAAACTATATAATGTGGAGTTTACTCCAAATGTATTTCTTTAAAATAGTAATGTTGTTACTAGGAGGAAATCGCAATTTTTGAGCATCTCCAACCTCTCCTTGTATTTGTTTCTAAATGTTATTATAGAAGCAAAAATAGCAAAATTTATTGGAAATGGTCTAAGCCAACTCTACATTGGTTTTTGTTTCGATCTTATCTTTACAAATTTTTTAAATCTGTCTTTTTACTGTGTCTCCAGGTTGAAGAACCGGTTGAAGTGTACCACGACAAGGAGTACAAATCGAAAAGATGGCATTTCCCTATACATAACTTGACTATATCCAACGTTTGGTCGCCATTTCTAGTCAAAGCCGCTATTTTTGAAGATTCAAACGGTGTCTCAACCGCTGCGGTCCAGCTACATCTTGACAAACTCGATGAGACATGGACCAGTCTAATGCCTAGCCTAGACTATGCCATCATCTCAACCGGTAAATGGTATCTTAAAACCGCGGTTTACCACGAAAATTCCAAACCGGTCGGTTGCCATAATTGTCCAGAAAAGATGAAAGAGCTTGGATTCGACTATGCTTATAACGCCTCGCTGCGTAACGTCATGGACTTCATAGCGGACGAAACTAACCGTAAAGGTACGGTGTTTTTCAGGACGTCGACTCCAGACCATTTCCAAAACGGGGAGTGGCATAACGGTGGGACGTGTAAGCAAACAGAGCCGGTGAGTGATGAGGAGGCTGAGATGAAAAACGTACATAAGATATTAAGAGATGTGGAGGTTAGTCAGTTCGAAAGAGCGGTTAGAGAGAAGACGGGTGAGGACGGTGGTGGTGGTGGTGGTAATGTAAAGCTTTTGGATTTCACCGGGATGTTACTGACCCGACCCGATGGTCATCCGGGTGCGTACAGACAGTTCAGGCCGTTTGATAAAGACAAGAATGCAAAGGTACAGAATGATTGTTTGCATTGGTGCCTGCCTGGTCCTATTGATTACTTGAATGATGTTATATTAGAGACCATAGTAAATGGCTAAACCGAAGTTACCGAACTATCCAAATTGTGATTGGTGGTTCGTGGCCATTTGATGAACCCTGGAAAATGTGAGACCCGGTTCTCTGGGGATAAATAGACTAATACGGAGAAAAAGTGTATGAATTGAAAAAAAAGTGTATGAAATTGGTTCTTGGGAGCTAGCTGGTGGAGGTAGAAAACCGGTTTGGTAAAGGACTTGTGTTTTTTTTTTTGCCGGTTCTGTAAAAACATTGTTTAAGTTTTTATCTTTCTGTTTATATAAACCGAGATTGTGTGTTAAAATTTAATTCATGAATCGGATTTTCCTCAGATATTGTCTTATTGAAGATCTTCTAATACTTTTACTTAAACTCATCAAAATGCATTACAATTAGGAGTAAAAAGATCATTCGCAATAGTTGTTATTAATACGAAACTACCAGTAGCTAGAAAAAAATTCTTATTAATCTTTTAATCAGAAAAAATGGATACAAGTTATCGACTACGTGAAATAGTTTTGAATATTTCTATGCTTTGATGAATATAAGTTATCTACTAAAGTGATTTTCCCAGGATGACAAGTGTTATTCTCTGTTACAATTTTGTTTTTAATAATAAATCGAGTCTGGTAAAAACGTGGGAAAATCCGGGTTAATCTCGATCGTTGGATTGAACCACTCAGCAACATCAAAGATAGGTGAACTCTCCATGACTCCACCGAAATAGTCGTTGGTATTCCCGTAATCGTATAACGGCGGCGTATTAGGGAACGAGAAAACGTCGTCAAGCCCCTCGGTTCGAACAGTTAAGCTGGTTTTGAGACTCTCGAGAATCTCGTTAGGCTTTTGAGCAATGATTGGTTGGGTTCTAGTGTCTTGCTTCTCTGGTGGAGGAGGAGCTGCTAAGGTCCCACGTGCGCAAGTGTGTTTTCCTCTGTAAGTCACTTGGAAAACAGTTGGATCACTGTCTGATCTTTGGACCTGCTTTGTTGCCCAACAGTTCTGTGTGCTACGGTGTGTGCATCTGTAATAACTCCTGGGGAATTTGGCGCCTAAAATGTCTTTTTGCCCATACTTTCTCCAGCTATAGACGTCATCTTGATGAGGTCCTTCTAAGCCTCTTTCTGGGTTTATTCTCACTTTTTCTGTCCACTTTGGTAACATCTTCCTGCAAAATATTTCACCAAAATTTTGGATTAATTTATATAAGATTATATTTATATTCATAACATTGGTGAATTGTAATTTTTTTCTTTTTTTTTTTGGTAAAAGAGTAAATTGTAATTATTTGTTGTTACCTTTTCTTTGAATTGAAAATATGTTCTTGGCGATGAGTTTCGCTGGAACCTCCTCCATCAAGAAACTCTTCACTTCTCGGACTTCCGTTTACAGACGCCGGAGATTTAGGAAATCCGACGGACTTTGTCACCGGAGCTACACCAACCGCCTTTGGAATAAGTTGTACGGGCGGCGAGGTGGACCAGTTTACAATGGCAATAGATTTCTCGTAGGAAGAAAGTATCTGCTTGAGAAGATTCCCGTTCGTCTCCGACGCCGGAGAAGATTCTCCAAGCCGTGCCTGAAGCTTTTTGGTCGCTTCTAGTCCAAGAATGAGCTCACTTAGTAGTGTCTTCTGCTCCCAACTAAACATATCTTTTTTACCTTCCATTTCAAGTATGTATCTCAAAATAGTAAGTTTTTACTAAATAAAAAAAAATCTTAAATATGATGAGAAATAAATATAATGTGTTATAATTTGGGTTATGTAGTAATAAGTTGTATTATCTGAATTTTATGTAGGGTAATAGATGGAAGAATCATATGATGAGAGAATGAAAGTGTTATAGGCTTGTGGAGAAACTGATGAGTGTTGGTTTGGAATATAAAGGCATTGGATTTGAGTGTTTTAATTTTTTTTACCATAAATAATTAAAATACTTCTTTTAGTAATACAATTTTGTTTTAGAAAAGGGGACAAAACTTTCAAAATGAAGAAAAGTCTTTGGTATAAGGAGGTATTGGGCCAGAGTGTATCTATTAGTGGGGTGGTGGCAGTGAATGAGGTTACAAGGTCAAACGCTGACCAATTCAACTTTGCAATTTTGTTATTGTAGTTATGATTGTAAACCAAGTAAATCATTTATTTAAATGTAGACGTCTAAACAACTGTTGCTTTCAATGTATCCTTTTACTTTGTACATGCGATCGAGATTCTCTATACTAATTGCCAGTATCTGTTTTTGTTTGATTATTTATTAAAATAAAACAAATAACCGTTCTTTCCTTGATCTTCTCAGTTGTTAACTATATCATATTCATATGTGATGTGAATATTGTCAAGAATAAAAGAAAAGATGCACATTCCATGTTATTACACTACTAGGTATAACCGTATTGCAGAGGGCAGTATCTTGTACTTGTTCCTTCCTACTTACGTTTCAAACAGAGCATTGTTTTAGTATTTTCACATGGATTTAAAGGTTAGTTGTTTTATTATACACTTTACACAACAAGGTTGAATCTTGAAAATCTATTATATTTTACAATTCCACCATTTTCATTATGTAAATGTTAGATTATAAAAAAAAATGTTAGATTATGCTGAAAACATAAAACGACATGTCATAAGAGAAGAAAATATTAGTATCAAATGAAATTGATTTGAAACGGAATGAGTAATCATGTGTCAACTGCTTAACTTAACTCCCTATCTCATTTTCTGAAAACAAAGACATTATAGTATGACACTTAATTTGAATGAGATGAGTAATCAAGTGTTAACTCTCCACATTCATTTTACGTATATTTGTGTGCTATCCCAAATTGTTAATTATGTGTACTTAAGACAATATTAAATTTGTGAGGGAAAAACATTTATGACCGGTTTATAGAAAATGCAGAATTTTGGGAGAGAATTATTTATCTTTTGTATGATAAGGTCTAGATTATATATATAATAATATATGCTAACATTTATTTATTTCAAAAAGGTAATTAATTGTGTGATAATACAAGAGCGTGATAAGGTCTTTGCTGACCAAGTCCACCATAAAGCTTTCTCACATATAGTCAGATTGGTATTCTGTTCCAACATTCATTCATACTTTAATTGATACTTTCTAACTTTATTGGCCATCGAAATTTTCTTTTTATGTATATGGACCACTTATATCTTGGAAGTAATACAATCTCTTATATATGTAACTATTATTTTTGGCAGCATACACTCTACCGAATTTAATTTGCTTAGTCAATGACTTATACAGATTTGTTTTATAGTTACAAACTAAATTAAATATGTGACAAAATGCTAAAGATAAACAAGTAAATAAACAAATAAGTTCATAAAGACGAGGAGACGCTGGCATTCGAGCTCAAAGTCTGATGCAGTTGTTTTACAAATACATTTCAGTACAGTTTAACCAATAGAAATACCAATCTCGAATTAAATATGGAAATTACTATAGTTTTGTTAACGTGATACATACACTTAAATACTTGATTAGTGTAAAAAGGTTATAATCTCGTTTTATTATAAGAAGAAACCATGTCAGTTAGACCCAAACAAAAGAGAAACCATGCCAACGTAGAAAAAACGTAACGGGGATCGACATATTTGTATTTATTGATTATTTAAAAAGAATCTGAATGAAGATATACAGAAAATATCTAAGCGACAGGATGAGTCAAGATGTTGGAGTCTTGGACCGACGACATTTCAAACCTATATACGCGTCGATCTTCCCTTTCTATATTGTTTTCTTTCCACTTTTTTTTTTCGTTGTGAAAGGAAAACAAGAAAAATAAATTAATACTAAGATGAAAAGAGAAAGTAAACAATAAAAATAATTTAGTACTAAAATGAAAAGGGAAACTATTATTTTACCTTCCTACTCTTTTATCACTTAATAGACCGGACCTTTTACCGGATAAGCCAAAACTGAATCCGGAAAATTTAAATTTGAATCCGATTAGATTTATAAAAATATTTGTACGGTTAGTGAATTAGAAAAAAATAGATATTTAATCCGATAAAATATTATCTGATACTCAAATGGATATATAGAATAACCAAAAATATAAATACTCCATCCATTCATAATATTTGTCATTAAACTTAATTTTTTTGTCGTTTTAAATTTTTGAGACAAAATTTATTAATTTTATATAATATTATATTTTTCTGTTAGTTGAAAAATAGTTATGTGAATAGTTAATTGTGTTTTATCTTAAAAATATGTAAAATTAAATATATTTTTAATCTGTGTCCAAAAAATTAAAATAACAATTAAAATGAAACGGAAGGAATAATAACTCTAAATTCCTGACAGTTTTAGATTGATTTATTTTGTCTTCATAATTTACACTAAACATAAACGTTCATTCATTTTATTTTTGAATATTTGATGTCTAGTTCTTTGGTTAACAACATATTTTGTTCTTGTTTGTTTGATATTATATTCTTCTATTTTACTATATACACATTATTATTCGATTCAATTGTGTTTGTTTTCGATATATGTTCATCCCCATCTTTTTTTGTAAAATTATTTTAGATAATCGAACCCGGTCTAACTTACCATAATCTGGATTATCTTAACCCAGACGACAAATACCCAAACTCAATTCAAAGTATAAAATTTCTGAACAAGTTTTACATCCTTATACAATACTCAAAAATCTGAAATACCAAATCAAACTCGAACGGGTATTCGCCCATCCATGGCGTCACTTTCTTCGCGTCATTCAGTTTTCCGATCTTTAGAGTCTTGCCCATATACACCATAATACTCTTTTTATTTAAGTTAATTTCTATAAAAACTCTTGACACGGTAACCTCTTTTACTTACAAAATTAAGAAGTCCGTTGTACTCATCTCAACCCAGCTAATTCAATTATCCACTTAACGATATATATTTATCATTTCTAGAGTTAGGTTGCTATTTACTTTCGAATAACTATAATACATACACGCAAAAAAAGTATCCCTCATAAGATTAAACATTGTTAAAAATTCAAATTTATATTTGACTGGAATTATATTGTAATGTAAACTTACTAAATTCAATTAATTTTAACTATGTTGTAATGTAATAGATCATTTTTCCGTACTAGATTATACTATTGTATTTTGTAATATTATAATATAGGATATAAAATAATTGTAGAATGTTATTTGATTTTAAACTTATCGGGATAATGAATATGTTGAACCAAATAAGACACAACGAATATAGTTGTTTTGATTAACATCTTACTGTATATATCTACTGTTGAATTTTGATTTAAAGTGATCAAAATTGATTTAAAGTGATCAAAATTTTGATTTAACATCTTACGAATAGTTTTTTTTTTTGTTAAAATGATACTGTATAACAAAAACTCTTTAAAAATCGAACCAGCTTTTAGTTCATTTTACATCTTCCCCTTTTTTTGACAACATCTTCCCCTTATAATCACTTAGTTAAAATAATTTACCAGTTCAAATGGAATTTAACACAACTAGAAATTACTAAATAAAAGTAGAATGAATCAGCTCACAATATAATGATTCAGTTTGGCATCTTAACTCAATGCTTCATAATAATTCATACCAAAATAGTACACACTCTCTTTCTGTTTTTAAAAAAAATATAAAGGGTATTATTTGATTTTTCACACATATTACAAAATTATTTTTAATCTTTCTTTTTTATTTTATTTATACAATAAATATTTTTTCTCTCTAATTAAAAGGCTGATATAAAATAATATTCTTTTTGAAACAAAAATTAAACTAGAAGCGCACTTTTATAAAATGGATGGAATAATAGTTTTTTCCTAAAAGATCTAATTGTTAAACTTTACGGCATTAATCATCGCATGTTATTTTAATTGATGGAGAAATATCTTTACATGGGTGTGTCTCAATGCTATGCAGCAATATTTAATTCGTATTTTTGTGAGAATGTAACAGAAAATAAATTAGAAAGACAATTTGTGAACTGGACTCATTAAAACTAGCAGAAACTCAAGGCTTATTTTCCAAATTACCAAAAAAGTAATTTTTAGTAATAATATAAAGAGATAGAAATAGAAATGAATAGAGAAAGAGTGTGTTTATTGTTAGATGATAAATATGAGGTTTTTATGTATATATATGTATAAATTCCCAAAAATCAATGAAGTAGGAAAAGGTCAAAAAAAAAAAAAAAAAACAATGTACGGAAAGATGCGACTTTAGATTCGTTTAGAGATAGTCAAATGCGACTTCGACACTTTCACACTTGAAATAAATAATTGCTGTATTGATTTGCCATCGCAAATTCAAGTCTAATTTGGATATATTCCAAATTCAACAATGCAAAACCTTTAGATCTCTCTTTTTGATCTTTTAATCTTTTTAAATTTTTTTTTATAAGGAGGAAACTGAATAAGGAGGAAACTGAAGTATTAACCTAACCTTCAAAATAATACTTACTCACTGGAGGATTATCCGCGCGGAGAAATTTATATACTAATATTTATTGAATATTAATCTGGATCGTTCAAATCATCGTGTTATAAGTTTTCAAACATAAAATCATAGACTGCACACATGCGCAGATGAAATTTATAATAATTGTTGAATATTAATTTTACTTTTTCAAATTATCTTATTATAAGTCCTCAAACGTATAGTCATGGACCATCAATATAAGATTTCTGAATATCAGATCATGTTAGATGTTTTATTTCTCTAAAAAAATATTTAATTTATATTGTATTTCAGTGATATGATTGGGATGTTACAATTTACCTTTTTAATTTAGTATAAGAAATTGTTTTTTTTGAAATGATATGATC